CTACGCTCGAGGCACAGCCGAGCCGAGGACTCTCCGGTGGTCTGCTCCGGTGCGCGAAGTCCTCTCGAGAAAGAGCCGAACGTGGCCGAGAACGGCCGAAGCGGCGCGGCCGCGCGCGCGCGACCATGTGGCGACGGCGCGATGACAGAAGCGCTGTCAGTGTCACTGCGACTGTCGTCCGACGTGGTTGCGCGGCAGGATTTCTCGGCAGTTCGCCGCCGTTGGGAGATCTCTCTCGATCTCTCCTCTTTTTTTTTCCCTCCCTCTCTTTATCTCGTCTCACTCTACCGTGGCGACGAGTATCGAATTCACCGCAAGGTCGGCGCGACGGTGGCGACGTTTCCTCGCACACGCTCGCGCGTGACGTCAAGACGATTGTCAGAAACGCACGCGTACGAAACGTGCCGCGGCGTCGGTTTCTGTGAAAGGGAACGCGATCGCGGTTCAGGTTAGGCCGTTGGGACAGACCGCAGTTTCACGAACAGGCACGAGGTCGTCCGTCGAGCTCTCCGTTTCGAGGTGAGTCGAAAATCATTCCCATTTTAGGCTCTTGCGAAAAGATCAGCCAGCGGTGCCTCAACAACGCCGCCGCGTCCTTGCAATCCGCGCTGCTCCGTCGTTAGCTGCGCTCTTAGCAGCGCGCTGATAATGAATTTATTTGAAGTTCTCCACGCTGTGGTTTAACAACAACTGTGCTTTCGATTCGCGGGCGAGATTTAATTCGAGACCGCGTTTGTAATCTGGCTGCGATCGCGCGATATACCTATATCGCGCAGGTGGCCCGAGATTCCGTCTTTAATCGCCGCCATCATTTACGCTTCGACTGTAGAAAATTATTGCGGATGTTGTTCTTGTTGGGAAACCCCGAACACACCGCGCCGCCTGTCGATCCTCGGTCAGTGCGTCGGCGAAAAATATAATTATTGCGCGCTTATATGTATTATCGTCCCGCCGCGCCGTTTCTCGCGTTTGTTTTTCTCCGCCGTTTGCACTTTAGACCCGTACGATTCGATTTCGTGCACGTAACGTCGTGCTTTTTAGAGTAATTAAACAGCACGTATCTCTCTCTGCCTTGACCGTTCTTCACGCATAACTACCTCGTAAAGTCTTTGCGCTAATAGGTGAGTAACAGCAATGCCGCATTATAAAAAAAAAAAATAATAAAAAAACGAATAACTTATGCAATAAAATACATTCCGTTAATTAATGCCGAAGTACATTATATATACCAGTGGTAGACTTGTTATATATATCTATAAACGGTAACTATCTTGCACGTAAAATCAAGTTTTCAGCTGTTGCATTAGTTTTTCGAGATAAATTATATATTGAATGATCGCATGCTATTGCAATATTTGTGGAACGTGTGATTCTGCGATATCGTTTGCCGTCGATTTGAAAAAGAAAAAAATAACCGAGTGACGACATCGCCGCGCCGATTGACGTCACATCATGCTAGATAATCACAGCGCATAATGGCATATCTTACATGCATCTGCTCGACGGGAATCAGACGTTGCATTTTAGTAAGTGGTACGATGCGAAATCGTCGCAACGACTTAATTAACTTGAGAAAAAACTATCGCTGAGTGAATTTTCAGTCACTTTAAATCGTGACGCGATTATACGACGGGTAACTCGCGAGAATCGCGCGTACCGCGATCTGTAACCAGGAAGATCTTCCGGGAAATTCCAATCGCGCTGCACGTCTGTGTTTTTCCGAATATCCGTGCCAACGTAGCGCTCTCGTACAGCTCCGCACTGAAAACTGTCGATAAAACAACAAGAGTAAATAGATATCAGATTCATCGCGTAATTTACTTATATAAATACAATTATAGCGTCTCGCGTTTCTTCTCGTTTTAATATCGCTTTTTCCTTAATCTCTCGCTCGTTAAAACATATAGTGGTAGAGCTTGTGTCCTTGTTCCGTCTATATTTTCTATTGTATTTCGTTACAAACATGAAATCGTGGTGTATTTTCCTCTTAAGTGCAATATACTCCTTTATCTGCATACGCAGCATTTTACTTGTACACGCAACACGAACGGCCGCGTCGTTACGTTACATCCGAGACACACTACTCGCGCATACGCTCGTTATCATGTTTACATTCTTTGTTCTCAGTCTTACCACTCGCGGCATCGACACGTTCTCATCGTGGAAAGAAAACCGTCCTTTCAACTCGCGGAAACTCGCTGTATAAACTTTTGTAACATACGCGCGTGCACATTATACGATAGAAATGATTTATTCACATCGTTAACTTCAAAATTCTTCCATTGATCACTTCTATTGATCAGCGGAAAGTTTAATGAATTCACGGGGAAGAGTTGTGATATTCCAGCGCTAAGAATATATCCATACGTATGTTTAGGTGGAGCGAATTGAAAGTACGTACATAATAGAACGAGGTAAAATGGAAAATGACGTATTTATGCTCCATTTGTCGTTTGTCATTTCCATTGGGAGCTCGCGAGCGAGAGTTGCGAAATCATGGGTATTAAAAGAAGGCATCGGGTCTCGCGAACGGAAACGTTAAAAACAGCAAAAATGGAAGTAAAGATAGAGGTTCCTTTGTTATCCAAGGTTGCGCTCTTGCGGCCGCAGCGGTGGCGGCTTTCAACCGCGCTTTTTCCGGCGTTCGCATAGAACACGCTATTCTGACGTAGTTGCGTTATTATTTACCGCGTAATATCCATGGCATAATTAACCGCGTGTGCGAAGGGCAATAAAAAGAGAGAAAGAAAAAGAGCGAGAGGGAAAGTGAGAGAGACAGAATACGCTAGACGCACAAGTAAATAATACGCGGTGCTCGGTCGATGTCGATTTACTTGTTTACTGTTCGTTACGTAATCGCGCGTTGCATTACATAAAAATAAATGTAATCTTCGGCCACGAACGTGATCCGATAAAAAGAAGTGATCGAATGATGAAGACCGGTTTCCGCCTAGAATAATTTTAACCTTTGTTCGTTATTTATTTACTTGTTACTATTTTTTGTTTTTAAAGAACGCGGTATTTTATACATAGGAATTTTATGTACAGAAAAATAAGATAAAATGTTCGAAAATGAGAGTTAAGAATAGCGTAAAATTTTTAAAATATTAAAAGAATAAAAATTTTAATTTTATAAATGTTAAAAATGAAATGTAATAAATATATCGAATTATGAAGAATCGTAAAAAGCCGTTGAAAGCCGGCCATTTTTCTCGGCTGGAAAAATTATGAAAAAATAATATACCGTTGAAAATTTACACACTAAGTTAAATTTTTCTAGTAACGTCATGGGTATGGTAATCTTTTCACGCACAATGGTCGTCGCACACAAACAACGTGTGTTTAGTGTTGGCGAAACCTGTAACAGGCTCGGCTGGTCAAACACGCAGATTGTTTATCATAACCTGGTTGCCACGTGTTTTCATATCAAGGCAAGATAAGCCTGGTTTTGAATGTCCATACCGAGTTCATAGAGAGCCTCCCTTCTGAATGACACAAAAGCGAACAGGTTTTAATGACATATATTGGCTTCCTGATAAGAAGAATGCAAACCACGCATATAAAAAAAGATTCTCTATAATTGATTTGATCATTTCCATGTATTAACTTTTGTTCTGTATATTGTATAGTAATAAATTTTTAATATTTGTTTAATTTTTTTAATTTTATGTCAACAATATAGTTTAATTATTTAAGTTACATTTTTTTTTATTGGTTTCGAGCTGTTTTTTTTTGGCATTTATATTAAAGACCTTTGAGAAAACAATAGTTCGAAATATTTTTAAAATAAAACTCACTATCGTCGTGGCGCCATCAGCTTCTTAACGACGCGATACGAGGAAGCCGCATCCTGGAAATGTCCAGCGAGATAGACAAACAACTCCATCCAACATGACGCGACCGTTTTAAGCCTTCGCTTCTCTGCTTCTTCATATTAAAAACAACGCATAAATTACAATGAAAAAGAGCACGCAGAAAATAGATATTTTATATTTAAAAAGGTAAATCAATTTTTTACAGAGATAGTATATATTTCTATAGAACTTCATGATTTTCTAAAAATATTAAAAATGTTGGATTAAAAATATTGTTACAATTGTCCTATTTTTTAAAATTAATTTAATAATCATTTGAATGAGTTCGCCAATCTGATTTAGCAATTTTTTTGCTAACAAGCAATTTTTTTCTGTATATGCTGATTTTCTGTCGAGCAACTTTGTTCTGTATTTGCTGATGAGAAAATATGCGAATGATGCGCCGATCGTTAATTTACGCCTCTTTCTGATATCTCGAAATTGAAGCGTTAAGTACACGCTTGAGATCGTCGTCGGTGGCGGGAGCTCTTTTGGCTAAAGTCCAAGTCGACGAATCCGCGAGTACCGGCGTCGACGACAAACGATCCTACACACAGGTGTTAAACTTAGAACTCGAACTAATTAAGGCCCTCCAGACGGCGAGCGGCCGCGTAACAGGGAATTTCACGCGTACCGGGAAAACCACTGATCGGGATCAAAGTCATGACTCATTTTTTTTTTGAGAGAGAGATTTCCATAGCTCTAGATTACATAAATTATATTCGAAACTTCTATTTTTTATCTGTTGCGAATGTGTCAAATGACCAACAATGTATCACTATAAATGTATATTATTAGAATGCATCACAATTCTAAATATAAGTCATAAAAATCATATAAAATTAATTAATAATTAAATATACTTTATTTAACAATTCTTACGTTAATATCTTATTCTCTATTTGTAATTTAAATTACGATTGTTTCAAACACGAGTTCGTAAGCGCAAGGATTTTTTTTAGCGGTCAATGGTCCATGCACGTGAGACCAACGAAGCTGCAAAATGTTATTTTTCCCCCTCATTCGTGCTTCTCTCTCTCTCTCTCTCTCTCTCCCTCATCGCGTTCATCGCGAAGCGTACATACTCGAAATTCGAAGGTTATTTTTAGGATAGGTTTCGTCGTCGCGTAAGGCCACGACGAGCGACGTCGGCGTCGCTCGCTCAGTGTTAAAGAGGCGTCGGTGGTGGACGCAGTGGTGAACGTGCGAACTCTCTTCGACGAAGTGAGAAAGAAACGAGCGCACGAGGGTGGTGCGGTTCATAAAGGAGAGAGGGTGCGAAGCGAGATAGGAGGAACGAAGCGCACACCGACGCCCAAACGACGATCTTTTTACGAACGAACGATCGACTGAGATATATTCATTTATTCTTCATTACTTATTTCCGCTTTCTCAATCCCGCTATTTATCCCTTTCCCCGTTCCCTCCCTCGACCCCCCATACGCGCATTATCTCTCACTATCTCACCGTCACATTTTCGACGACGAACAAACGAACACTGAACGAATAATATAACCGATCCCTCGAGCTATGGCAGCCACCGCCATGGACCCAGTCGACATTGCGAATATACTCGCGCAGGAATTGCTCTATCAGCAGGTAACCATCTCTCGAGTACAAAGAGTTCCAGATATTTTCAGCAAGAGCATAGCATTATTGTAATTCGTGCCAGTATCCGAAAGATTATAGTGAAACACATTTTAGCACAGTATATATAGTTGTATTAGATAATCTCCGCTTGTTTACCATTAACACGTTGAATCCGTGAAATAAATAAAAGATATTTTTAATCAATTTTAAACAAGTACAAGATAAAATGACGCAATTTTTATCTATTTTGGGGCAAGTAGATAAATATTTATTTGAAATTAATAATTTCACTTTTATTTTTAAAAAATTTCCACTTATTTTCATATAACTATCAATATACCTTTCTTACTATCTGATATTCTCTAATTGACATATTGAAGGGGAGAGAGAGAGAGAGAGGGGGGGAGAGGAAGGAAGGGAGAGTTCGAAAAACATTTACCGCACACGTTGACGACGTCATGTAAACTCCAAGATGTATACATTTTGACAGGGACGATATTCGATCTCATTGTGATCGCGTGGCGCGAATAAAGTGCCTCCTTGTCGTCTCGGAAAGGGTCCCCCCCTCCCCCCGAAGAGGCGAGGAGGTTTCTCCGAGAGACGATCGTTTCTGATCTGAAAATAAACGCGGCGGCTGGCGCGCTTTCGAAGCGCGATGAGAGAGCACTTCATTCACGGCGCTCGGTTAATTGCGATCGCGGCGAATCGTCGATCGCACGGTAAAGCTTTCGCCGAAAGATCAGTCGACCCGTTGTCGTCATGGTTCGTTTGATCGTAAGTAAGCGGCGAGCTAATCGCGCAATTCCTGTGAACTTGAAGGAGAGAAAGCTCGCCTTGGAGCGAGCGAGCGAGCGAACGTTCGGCTTATGCGGGATGATGATTGCGATGCGAACGAGCGGGGAATTGTGCAACGTTGTGCAATATCGTTGGAAGTTCCACCCGCCACGGTGAAACTATCGCAAGTGTACCGAGAATCGTTTACGCCGACCATTTGATTAATACGCCTGGCAGGGATGATCATAAAACGCATGAATCGAATCCAATTTGTGGTTCATTGTTGGTCTTGAGTTGAGTTCGATTATTTCATACGTACGAACTTTACATTCAAAAACAATCCGATAATTTTAGCCATTTTATCTGGAAAAATAAAAATCTATTTTGCGCTATCAATCATCCTTCTATGATCTTTGAGAGAGGAGAGAAATTGTGGAATATTCGCTTATATCTTGGAATTAAAAATATCGTTACGTATACCTTAATGCTTAACTCGACTTGTCAACTTATTTAAATTGTAAGACATTTTAAATTTCTAAAGTGCGGTGATTTTCCCAAAATTATCTAGTTAAAGAAATAATATGCTATAGGACTCGACAAAATTGCAAAACGTTTCAATCATTATTAGATCTGCGCACGCGAAGGCCAATTAATCTGCACGTCGTGACATTTCCAACAAATATGATCGCCAATTAATCTGACGTTGGCTCGGTTTCAAATTATAGATAGTGATGGTTATTCTAAAATCTAACAGATCTGATTCTCATATTAAGAAAAAAACTATAACGTATATAATAGCAGTACGGTAGAGTAAGTCTTAACATACTGAAATTTTTAATACAATATACATACAATATACATTCACAACCGAAATGTGTCTTTTAGTAGGTAGGAGCAATTGTTAAGCCCTGTATATCTCGATTGATTTATATCTCGATCGCCGTATAAGCGCGCACGGTATCTCGGTCGCGATAGCGAGTGGTCACGAGCATGTTTTCTGGATTCGATCGTGCAATTAGTCTATCGTCCTCGCTCTGGAAGCGCGAGGTTCTAGACGAGGATCTATTTTCCGCGGTATAGAATTACACGGAGTGGCGATGCGATGCGATGTGGGCGCGCTCGCTAACTCGCTTTTGCGTGTTCCTTGTCGCATTTGGGAGTGAATCGACCGCAGCTGTTATCTGGATACGCGCATTTCGCAATAATTTTCTGGTGGCTGATATCGCCCTTTGTCCGTAGATTCCGCAACGCGCGCTCAGGGCAGATTAGAGAGAACAGAGAACGTATATTTATTTATAGAAACGCGGATCCCGCGCGCGCGCCGTACGTGTCCGACATACGTGCGCGTGCGTGCGTGCGTGCGTGCGTGCGTGCGTGCGTGCGTGCGTGCGTGCGTGCGTGCGTGCGTGCGTGCGTGCGTGCGTGCGTCGTCATGTCGTCGTTGTGTCGTCGTGTCGCACGTGTGCGCACATGTGTGGAGGAGAACGAGCGTGTGAGCGAGCGAGCAACCGCATCGCAAAACGGAAGACGCGCGTGTGCATGCCAACAGCCGTCGGCTTTGTGAAAAAAAGCGCGACGTTGCGCGCGCGCCCGTTCTTGCTCCATCTCGAAGGAGGAAATTCCGTTGAAATGCGGATAGATAGCGATTCGCGAAATCCTACGTAGTTCGCTGCGAATAAACGAGTTTTTCTTCGTCATGTTTATACCAGCGACCGTGACGAATATCAGCGTTATCGTACATCGATCTATATACTAGATGCCGTAAAAACGAATGCCCTCTCGCAATACTCCGCGAGCAATTTGGAGCAGGTTTCCTTGCAATTGGATTAGATGCAATTTTTTCTGTTAGATTTTAATAATATCGTATGTTTCGTTTGATGATTTTTGAATTAAAGTTCTATCAAATTATTATTCAGTGAAAGTTATTTATATACTTGGTTTGTAAAAAATTAATTTTTCACAAATTTAATCATTTTATAGTTAAGGTGGTTTTATCGCTCAACGCCAAATCGATAGTGTGACATAAACGTCACACAATCGCATATGTACAGTCTATGCGAAATGTTTTTATTGAATTATTAGTTATATAGAGGGACTAACTTTTAACTGGGACTTGCTTGATAAAACCACCTTAAATCATCTTTGCATCGTTGAACGCCGCCGTCTTTTAGATTTTGTACCTATTCAGATATTAGAAAAAAAGGCACGAACTTCTTTTTTTTCCTCTACTCGAATGTATACAGCATATTGTGCATATCGCGTGATGTGTACGGAGTATTGAAATACGCTCGAACAAAGCTGCCAAAGGGG